CTCTTCTCGTCTGACTTCTGATTTCTATCTGACTGGGAACAATCGAATTTAGAAGGTGCTACTGGTATCTAGTTGTAAAACTAGAATATCCGTTGCATCATCAACTTCTTCGGTCCATTATGATACATAAGTTTCGGAATAATAACATTCTCAACCGATCATTTTAAAGAGAGCAGGAGAGCCATCTCTCTCTGCGCCAGCGACGTTTTGATCGTTTATTGATCATTTGAAAAATAACAGAAATTAGAAAATAAAGATAGACGTTTCAAGACGGATAAGAACAAAACAAATTTCTATCGCTATTAGATTAGCTTTTAGTGTTACAATCAGAGACGAAAATATATTTTTGTGATTTGTTTTGTATGTCCAATACAGACTAACAACATCCGGAAAACGTCGCTAATTTGGTTCGATCAGCTGTAGTGAAGCAATAATATTCCAGATATTCCTCTTCATTCAGGAAATATTCCCAATACCGAACAACCGAAATGTTATGATTTCTCAGTTTATCATTATCTGCACTTCACTTATTTAAATAAAAATGTTGTTTATCTGGAAGATTTCCGTCTTACGCGAAATAAGATACAAGTCATCCGCTTTCGAATTTAACTCAAAAATCCTCAAATTCTTTTTCTTGACTCCGACGGATCTTTTCACAGAACACGCATTCGCCCTCATTGTAACTGAATAAAATGAACATTTATACCAATGATATTATTATATTCTATAGTTCAGGGTCACTTAGCAGGAGGTTATCAAAACATTTTTATCATTACTAAGGTGGTAATGAATATTAGATCGCATTGCGATTCTGTCTATCAACCTTCGTTTGCGTGTGTCAATGAATAGATTGTGGTATTGTAATAGGTCTATACCAGTGATTGGCATAAAAACATCTGCGACAACAAGAATCCAGTGAATGGGTTTGCATAAACACACGTTAAGGTAGACGTACCTTTTACCATACGTAGCAATCGGTTTTCCGTTTGCCGCATGTAAGCTTAAAACAGACTCGTGAAGCCTGTCGTTAGAATTCGCGGGAAGAACGCTTACTTTTGCGCCAATGTCGACGAGGTAGCGAACTCTATTCCGTGACATTTAACAGGCGGCTATGTTCACCGGCTACGGATGCCGTTAACGCGTACCGGCTGGGAAGTTTCCCGAGTTTTTATTCGTGTCGGTCGACTTGAAGTTCGGGTAATGCAGTGTTTGCTGCAATTTCTAGAAGACTTACCACACGGGTTATGATACCAGCAGCAGTCGAGGTTATCTGTCTCTCGTTGTCCAGAGACAGATAGCCTACATGAAACACTTCTTCGCAGGGTTCTTGACCGACTACGGTCATTACGAAATCGAAGATATCGTATTAGTGTATGACATAATTCGGTCATGTCTTCGGGGTCGCTTGAGGTATTTCTTTGACTGAAAAGAACTCGGCGTTAGTAGATTTTGTGATTTTTAAAATGCGGTCGGCATATGCAGCTAGTTCGTCGACGGCGTTGTTTTGAAATGAGAACAGAACTGCTTGCACCTGTTGCAGGAGTTTAGATAAGAAGAGCTGTTTGAATAGGCCTTCGTCGAAAGTTCTTTGGCCCATCACCTCTCTCATTCTTAGCAACATGTCTGTAGCAGAACCATGTTGCAGGTCGATGTTGTTGAGGAATTGGTTTAACCGTTGTCGGTCGGTTAGGTCTCTACGTTTTAGAATCGATCGTTTAAGACTTTCGTAAGGTTCGGAAACATAACTAGTAAACATACTAGGTGTGACGTACCTGGTAAATTCGCGCGGCAGTGCCCTAACAACCGCGAGGAACTGTGTGCGTGAGTCCGTAATGCCGTGCCCGCAAAAGCCGGCTTCTGAGTTGAAGAACCAGGCTTCTACATTATCCGGCCAAAAGGGCGTTAACTGAAACGAGGGTGGGGGGATAGTCTTCATCTTAAATACTTGGAGTGTCTGTTCCGTCATGGTGAAATATCAAGTATTGTAATGAACGAAAAATAGATAATTATAATATATCCGAAAACTCGAAAAAATATATATCACAATATATAAAAGTCAAATAAAGCAGACAATGATTGATGAAGTTCCAAAAAGGAAAAGACTCACAGTTTATCGTTTGGTGTACCAGATCACGTCGGTCTCACCACTGAAGATATTACCAGTATTGTAGTTTGACAACTATTAACCAGTAACACCTATAATCGAGTCGTGTCCCACTCAGTTAAAATCAGAAGTCAGAAGCGAAGAGGTTGGAAAGATATACTTGATGCGTTATCAATATATCGAGAAGCGATTGATCTAATCTAGCTGGTGATCTTAGGAGATATTTCCCACACTGTGCTGTAACGTGATCTGGTGCGGATGCATGACCGAACACCTTCAGCTAAACAAAACCACTAAAACTAATGTGGTCAGCATCTAATGTCGAACACTTAAAAAGCTACTAATTTTGGGGAATTATTTACAGCTACACCCTGGTTGTAATCTAATGATGATGAAGTAAATAACTATCGTATCTGTTTGCTTTGCTTACTCCAGTGCTCCAGTCTGGTATGTTTTTACTAAAAATCTTATCGTTTCTTGAAAAGCCAATCGTCTATCTAGTTCGAAGAGGATTACTTTTATTGGCTAAACCAGCTGATTTTTAGACTACATTGACTGCGTAGCTGACTGTAAAATAACAAGATCACGGTTTCTCTCAGAAAACACTATTTTTCATGGTCCGTACTCTCACTTCTTTTGGTCATGTATATTCTAAAATTCAGCCAAGAAGAAGACCTGGTTTATGACCAACAAAGATGAATTAGAATGGTTCATCCTTCTTCGAATTAGGAACATCAAACACCTTAGGTTCTATCTGAAGTAGGCACTAGGGTATATTATAGCGCCTGACTATGTGTCAAGCTTATTTGTTTTCGAAACTCAGACATAAGTATTTTCAACTTTAAATAAGATGTTTATACCATTTGTGGACGAAGCGTCTATTTACAAGCACAGATGACCACGACATTCTCAACCTTACCAACCTCATCATGACCCGTGACTAGAAAAATGTCCTAAGCCTGGGCTATCTTACTTACTGGTTAATAGTTTTCAAACTACAATACTGGTAGTATCTCCAAAGGGCTTCGAGGGAACTATACTTTATGACGCGAAGAGGCACGTTACTAGTCTACTCATGTGCAGCTGGATCAGGGACATTCTAATCCGAAGGCCTCCTAAGACCGCAGAATTAGATTGAGCAACAACGTATGCACCAGCATAGGACGTCGATATTGCTATCGCAAACATGTGTTACATCCATGTATAGAAAGCAAAGGTTGGGGACCCGAACGACTCATAGTATGCATAAACATCAGCATGGATGAGATTTGTCTTTGCCAAACTAGGCTGGAGTTCAGTAGTGGTGAAAAATGAATGAAGTCCTTGCATTCAAGTCATCTGGTGAGGGGTTGTCTGATGACTCTCTTACAATTTTATTCTCGACCCCTGTGGAATGATTGTGGCACAGTTTATGAACATCCCTCTGGCTTGCACTTGAACAAATAGGCCCTTCTAGAGATAATGCAGTCAGGCAACAAAAGGAATGATATTTTTCCCAGTCCTCAATATCACATTATTCTTTACCGCATGTCCTCTATGTTTTCTATATTTATGACTAGTCAGGTCTCCATTAGTCTCGGCAGAATTGTCGTGAGAGCATTTTCCACCTAGTCTCTAGCACCAGTTCATGGGACTGATTTCTGCCATTCCCAAGACACCTGGGGCAGTGGTGAATAGAACATTCGTCTATAAAATCCATGAACAACATCAAAGAGACCTTATATAGCCTTACGGAGAAAATAACTCATCACACTAGACGCACCGAACCAGGATTCCTTGGCTATAAATGTATTTGTAAGTTGCTTGTGAATAGTAATAGTTTTCATAGAGAGGTTACTATTTTATAGGTTAAGCAATTACGATATCGTTGCTCTCAACTACCGGTATTCGCTTTTATTAATTGCTACCAAAATGTATTCCACTGTGACGGAAGCATTATTACATATCAGCCTCTTAAGATCGAAGAAATCCTGAGGACTCTAAACTCATAGATCATAACTTGGCAGGATCCAACCCAGAGTCTCAAGAAATAAGCAAGTTATCATGGTTGCTCTCTTTAGGCATTTAGTCGTCGAAAGTTAAATTACTTCTTTCTAGAGAAAGATGCAGTTATTGCTGTACACAGAAAGGGTAACCAATTGGAAACTTCCCACTTCCTTACTTTCCGTAGTTGCAAAGATAAGTGAAAATGTACAAGTGAATCTGTTCAAGAGTAACTAATGAAAATTTTTGCTTCTGAATTAAAACTCAGTTTTTTCAGGTCATAATGGAGCGCTGACCATTTGGGTGAATGCAATAGCTGTCGGTGATCAATTTATGGTAGAACATGGAACAGCAATGATACTTAAGAGTCCAAAAAATTTTCTGTAGATAAAATCTGTTAACCGTGGAGTGGCTTATTTGTGGGGACATTTATGGGACCAAATTCTAAATCTTTTGAAAGAAGGTCTCGCACTTGTTCTAATTCCAACAGTATTGAGGAAAACTATCCTAGTTCTTAATTCTTGAGTGCTCTTCAGAATAGTAACAAATGAATCAGCCTTCAGGGTCTTTTGGAACGAAAATTATGGCTTACTGTACCTATAATCTTTTTCTTACAACCAAGAGACTGATCAAAGTCAATCAACGGTCTTCTATTTCCTGCCAATAATAATATAATTCAAAACTTATCGACTACTTTCTGGAGTTCGTTTCTGAACAAGAATATATTATAGTTATCATCTGAAATGAAAATACCGAAGACGTGGTCCTGAAATTTGTAACGCCAATTATTCTACATCGATCATTGTTAGAATTAGCTTACTGATATTCCATTCGCAGACATTTTAAGTGGATGGTTTTAAAATAAGTTTTACAGTCCTGGTCAGCGAATCGGTCTTCACATGTTCTTCCCATAATGAGTACCGTCACTCTAAGATGGATTGGCGATTTAGATCAAGACAAACGTGAACAAGCTGGGTGTGTCAGTTCTTCAAGCGACCAATATCGTCCTAAAAAGATAGAATTGAAGCCTGGCCAAAAGGAAATCCGCATTGGACGTATTAACACGAAAATCCCCCCTGACTACCCAATTGAAAGCTGCATTAACAGCCGAATGATATCACGAAATCATGCAACTATAGAACGCTCGGCGAAAGGGGGTTCAATTCTCTATGATCATAGTATGAATGGAACGTACGTCAACTATACAAGAGTTATGGGTGGAGTAACTCTAAAACATGGAGACATTGTGTGTTTTGGGCATTTAAATGGCGCAAACCTTAAGCCTGGGGAGCCAGTAGCTCTCTTTTATTCCGACTTGAAGTATCGAGTAAGTCCATTATTACATTGCCTTCGTTTTTCATACAAGAGCAGACGTTTAGCCTGTCTGTTTTAATGTAGTCGTCTGCCCGTTACGTCATCCGAATATACACGACCATCGTAGAGTTGTGTTTGTCCATAGTGTTCTGTTCTCGCTGCTCGAAAATAATCGGTCCCTTCACTAGGTTGAACTCAATATCCAGCGTTTCCAGTGACTGAAAAGTGGTAGTGCCGCTTCGGTTCCATCCGGTTAGATTAGCGTTCTCATGTTGTGCAAGTGAGGAATATGTTGCGCAGAAGAAAATCCGAAATGGGCATTGGTTTTGATGGTAAAGGTGAACCATGAAGGCGTGCTTGAGTGATTTACTAAATGACCGCATCAATTTTTTGACGCACTTTGTCGTCTGCTCAATCCAAAAACATGATGAGTAAATTACCTAAGTTACTCGGACTAGAACTTGAAACTAAGATTTACAGTTATGGTCAGCACTGTCATGAGTTGGCATTTATGACGCATAACGCCTCTTAGGATTCTTGTGTTATGACTAATGCCAGTTCGTGATAGAAATCCCGATTATGAACCTAGCGAGTGATTAAGATTTCGAGCAATCACTTTTAGGATCTCAGAAGTTCCCTTAACCTACTGTTGATAACACGTTTTTCTAGACTACATCATAAAACAGTCAGCTAACGACAATTTCTCAGAAGGGCCCTCGATTCCCGACGATGAAATGCCGTATTAATGTGTGCGTGCTCGTTGGGCTCACACTTGTTACAAGTCACTGTGCTAGATGACCGTCCAGACTTTGTCTTGGAGGACGAGGTTCAAACCAATGTGTGTATCATACGGCCGGGAATGGATTTCATGTTGGTGCACATCAGTTTGCTCATATGGTTCGAAAATTGAGTAGTTATCATATTTCTACTATTTCTTAGGAGTCTTAGGATTAGTGCAAATGTGGTTTCATATGGTACACACTAGTGCTTTAAGGAAGTTGTAAAAAGAAGATATTTAGTCTTGTCATTTCTCATTATCAGTTATTTAGAGCTCCACTCAGTAGGGCATCGTGATTCTCACCAAAAGTTTTTAGATTGTCTCATTATAGTTTGGAATAACGCTTCCCGTGTTGAACGTTCCATTTCCCTGCTTTGACCGACTAGTTGTACTTAGCTTCTGTTAGATTTGTAGCTTTTGTAATGTGTGAGCAAACTATTTAAATTTTGCAACAGATATTACTTTCTTCGGTAGTTAATATGGCCCACTTAACGGGTACGGATTTCATGTATTGATCTTTGAAGCCAGGGATATTATATGACTATCTAAACGTGAATAAACAGCCGATTTAGAGTTCGCGATCTATCATTAAGCTACCTCCTTACAATCCTAGTCATGGTAGTTTTATCCTGTTTCAGTGTTTGCCACCGCTTGTTATGGTTAAGGACAAACTATAGTCCTGTCTCGGTAATCGCGTTTTAAATATCGATTTCTGTAGTGTGTAATTTTAAAGTTGGACTCTGTCGAGTTTTTCTTTTTCTTGGATAGTTAGGTGTCTTGTTAAACCTTTACTTCACACAACTATTTCTAAATCACTGAAAAGATCCAACTACCTTCCTCCAAATTCTTAACTTCTGAATCATCCGTAATTATTTGTGTTTTTATTTCACAAATTCATATTCTCTTGAATCGTATCTTCGGTGCCTAATCTTCTCAAGCACCACTCATAGTGCTACTGCACATGCTGCTCTGAGATTTGATCTGAAAATCTTATCTCTTTGCTAAAGGGATATGGCGGGTTCTACTTTGTGACTGACTGACTTTTTCTTAATGTAGTTCGTCTGTCAACACTTGTCAACCAACAGTGCGAATTACACAGCATCACAGGTAAAATAGTATGGTGTCTGCTAACTTAAGGTAACAATGTCTTATTCACTTTTAAGGACGATTGTCCTTTGTGTTTTTGGGTCTGAGTTTTCTAGAAAATAGTAGCAGCGTAAACAAACATTTATAAGTGCGTAAGTCGCCGTTGCTAACAATCAGTGACTACTCATTCAGTTGATAACAAAATTTTATACTACAGATACTAGATACATAGTTCTCTTCATTTCGTTAGTTACTATTTCCTATTAGTGTACTTTCCTATGTCAGTTTTTTCTTAACTGTATTCTATTTTTACTAGGTGGAGCTAAGTGATTCCCCAACTAAGGAAAATGTTGTAACTGGAACAGCCAAAAAACGCAAGTCTTATCCTGCTCAGCCAGGTTCAACAGTGTCCTCTACTCAACGTTCTGATGGGGAAGATGATTCTATTGGGTCTAGTGATGAGTCCACGGATGCCAAACGACCTAGAAGTAATACAACTTCAAGTGCACAACGCACTGCTAACCGTCAAAAATTCAAGAAGCCTGCTAGTTCAAATCGTCATAAGGTAGATGAAGAGGATGATGAAGATAGCAATGAAGATCCCGATGATAGTTCAAGCAACAAACGATTAAGTTCTGCAGGTTCCAAAACTATCAAAAAACGTTCAAACGGTACGGACAAAATCAAAAAGTCTCATTCTAATTCTGTTTCACGCAAGTCCAGTGGAACAAAACCCGGTCATACACATAATAAAGAAAAACGCCGTTCTGGGAAATCCAGCAAATCTGGAGGCTTCGATGCGGAAGATGATGCTGGTGGAGGTGATATGTTTCATTATGACAGTGAAGAGTGTTCAGCTAGACCATGCAAGCAGCCTCAAGATATAGCAATAGATTGGATTCAGTGTGATCGTTGTACTCTATGGTATCATCAAGTGTGTGTGGGATTAAAGCCCAGTGAAGCAAATGTAGAAACTTATTATTGCCCTTATTGTAAAAAATAACTATCCTAATCGGGGTCGGATAGGTTACCTACTTCTGATCACCTTTGTCCGTGTACATAGTAAGTGAAATGAATTTTACTCCCAGATGTCAAAACTGAGAACGATCCTGGCAATTTAACTAGTTTGTTGATATTTTTATGTTCGCATTTGGATCGATCTCATTCATTTATCTTTCCATCAGATATTGTGACATTCTTTTGACTCTTTACTTCTTTCCTGTGGTTTAGCCCTAATGTAACTTTTCAAACAGATATTCTAATTCGTGATTTATGTGAATAAAATTACTTGAGCATCTGTTTGTCTGTTACTCTTTTGTATACTGACTTATAAAGATATATGTACATACATTAACTAAAAAATATTGTCTCTAGTCTTTTATATTCTAATTTTTACTCGACACAGGTTTATTGTCTTCGTCATCTTTATCTGAGTAGTTGCATCACTGCTGTTGAACATAAAAAATTTCTTGCGCTAGGATATCAACGTTACCAACAATTGTTTTCTTCATCCCCAGTTTTTTATAGTTACGTTTATTGACTTTCATACTTTTACACTACCTGTTCACTGCTCGTAATAAATAATATGGTATTTAATCAGTCTGTTTTGCACTTTGTCTGAGTGAATGTATAAATTTTGTCCGCCTATTAGTAGTTAATCGTCTTGATCTTATTGTTGCTTGTTGCGTATGCATTTACGCGCTGAGAATCCTACCATGATATCATGTGCAAAAAATAAAAATTCCAGATCAACGTGTTAATTTCTAGTTGTAATCAGTACCACTTGGTTTTCCCGGTATAGTCACTGCACCTCTTTTCTTTATTAGATGCATTCCTATCCCTCATTATATGCTATTTTTTCTATTCCTCATGATCTGTTGCACTCCTTTAGATGGTTTAGTTCAGTACGAATAAATCTCTAAGTCGGACAACAGATATTCAAAAGTGAGAATCTTAGTGTTAATGCGAATATTACGTAGTTATGATTCAGTGTTGATTCAAGCTTATAGATGGGACTATATGCATGTGTTCTTAAACATCGTAGTTAATAACTCCTTGGAGATAAACAGTAGCTATATTAAGCTATACTGTGGAGATCTTAGCATAACATATTTTCACTTCATGTTACAAATCTGTTTTGAAACTGAGGAATCACTGGTTGCGAACCGTAATTGTATCCAGGGTCTAGAGTTCTACTGAAGGATGAAGTATCAAAGGATCCGTCTATTTTTTGTGAAGATTGATTAGTATGACGGTTATTTCTTGTTTTAGTCTCAGGCGTCGTGACTTCGGTAGTAAATTCGAGCATCTCAACTAAGGATAGTGAGTCATATTTTAGGTATACATAACTAGACATCCTATTTTTAGGTGTTGTAGTGGTGGCACGTTATTAAATGAGTGACCAGACAGCAGTCTATGAAGTCACTGAATAACATTTTGAATTATGTAGGTTACTGCATGGGTTTTTGGGAATAGGATTGTGGTACTTCTGCATTATGTTGCTAGGTATGTTTGATTTAGAAAGTTCGCTTGGCTTTTGCCAGTCTGAGCCACCCGTAGCGTCGTCGAGATGTACGTCTGCCAACCAAAGAATGATCACGCTGCTAATTAGTTTGCTTTATCATTGTTAAACAGTAAAATGTAAAGAACATTCATAGGTTACCAACATTTCATCGTGTGTGTTCAAGGCATTGCTCACGTATTTTGGGATCATCGAGTGGACAACGTCGAGTTTAGATACAGGGCATCAGGTTAGGTTCATAAGATTGAATGTTTATCGATTTAAGTGAAAATGGCGTGTATTATGGTTGGCCAACCACCGGGTGACGTTTATCGTAAGGTTAAGTTGAAATAAAGACAGGGGACTTCAGACCAAAAGGTGACAAAGTTCTTAGCGTGAGACGTATAGTTAGGTGCAGACTACCTGGTTGCGGTCCGCGTGATTTCTGTAACATCTGGTTAAATACTTGCATGACATGGCTCAGAGTCGATCACAGTGGCTGAGATACATTCACTACTCGCCTTCCTTTAGATCCATGGCTTCAAAATTAATGTATACTTTCTGGTGTATAAATTCATTTTTATCGATTCGTCTCTGCCAAATTTTCCATACTGCTACTGATAGCGTTGTTGTGAAGTTCATATTGCTAACGTCGTTTCATTGTGTTGATGTGTTTCTCCAACTTGGGTCGATCCATACATTTACCGGGTTCTCCATTGCTCGTGACCAACTGATTATATGACTTGAGTTTCTATCCATAATGGAGATAAGCTCCTCACCTATGTTTTCGAGATATCTATAGCATTATCTGATGCTTCTGTAGACTATAGTTTCATAACTATCAGATCATTTATTCTTGTTCAGAAACTGGATTTCCTCACACTCCCTATTACGTTATTAGCCATAAATTTTAGTAGAATGAGCGGTGCTTCAACAAATCTATGTGGATTAGATAATAAGCATGTGACTTTCCCATAATTATATCCTCACTACTCTCGAAATAGAGTCCCAACGATGTAGTAAGAAGTCACAACTAGCGGAGTTTAATCATATCTATAATGAGGCACAGTCGTCATCGCTCAAGGCAGTCGTTGCGCTGTGTCAAAGGTCAACTTATTTCGAGAATGTAAACCATTAGGTCCTGGCTTAATGATATAAAAGTATCATCCTCGCCTCGATACTAGAGGGTTTCGTGTGGGGTAATGTTTATAAGTTCCTAATTCAAAAATCACTTGGACATGATAGTTCTTTTCAAATTGACCTAATCTTCACAAACCATAGAACTGAATAATTATCCATATAAACTTGAAATCATCTGATGTAACTGGTCTGTTATCGAAAATCCATTGTCTAACATTTGCTAGAAAATAGATAGTAGTAAGTAAGCAGACTGTCAACTTAATACTAACAGATTATACACTGAACAAACAAGTTGATCCAAGTCCTAAAAACCAAGTAGTGCGAATTAATCTGGTTCAGTCTTGTGGGTGTTTATGTGAATGTTATCGTCTAAAATCCCAATTTATCTATTCTCTGTAGGTACGAGAATTTCCATTAACTCAGTATGGGGTTATATCTCATGCTAGATGTCATATTCACTTAGTTTTTACAAAATAAAGACTCAGAAATATATCACTTATTTTGATTATTATCTTTGGTTGCTTCTGAAAAAATTGGTAGCTCAAAGGCAAGTGGGATTATTTTTCACTTCTTTTGAGTTCTGAACATGTTTATCGTTGTTATCTGATACCTTCTTGCTGACTCCGGTTTTGGTTAGAAAGAAGCAGAAATGTAACTCAGTAATTTAGTTAAATTTATTGGTTAAAGCAATTAATCTATTAACGTTGTAAATTATGTACACATTCACTAGATTATTGATTAATTAGTGCCTACTACTACTTGTTCGGTCTAATCGAATTTGACTTATTAACCAGTTGAGTAAATCGTAAATAATATTATAATTTTAATATAATCTCTGAATCAGTAGTTGAAGATGTAGTGGATCTATTGTCAGTGCTTGAATCAATTCTCACCTATTATCTTAAGTTTCTTTTTTACATCGAGCCAAATCAGTCCTTGTTCAGTCATACAAAAGTCAGTCAACCTCAAAGTAAAACCTGGTACATATGTATGTCGGTTCAAGTTGCCATACCACGTTAGCACAGCGAGATGAAATTTTTAAGGGAAATTCCAGAGTAGTAGAGATAACAACAGTATCAGTGGTAATAGGAAAGGTTAGATATCGAAGATATGATTCGAGAAAATATGAATCAGTGAAATAAAAACAGAAATTACAAGGAATTCAGAAGCTGATAATTCGGGAGAAAACAAAGAATGGATGCACCTGCGACATGGCAAGTAACCAGTTATGTCTGCAGTTATAGTATATAACAATGTATCTCGGTCGAATTATAAAAAGTGGTTTATTAAGATTTTGTCCTACAAATTGACACTAAGTATTCTCGTATTCAACACCAAAGATAGCAAAATACCTGAGGAAATGTTACATTTATGTCTAAATATAGTGTTGATGAACAAAATATCCGATTATATTGCCAAAATTCATTTTTCCCGTTAATAATATCAAATAAGTATTTCGGCTGAAAATGATTGTTATAATATTTTTGGTTAAAAGAATGAAACTATACACCTGCTTTTTATGCGAATTGAAATACAATGATCCTTATAAAAATACAAAATCAGATATTAATTTTGTAATGATGTTTACTTGTATTTTCACATAGCTTCTTATTTCATAAATTAAAAAAGTTTTCTATTGAATATTATTTAATGTTTGTTTTAGGATGTTATAGAATCTTATTTAGAGTTGAAATTACACTCACTTCGTTCATCCGATCCGAAGTCAGTAAATCCCCATACTGTGACAAAAGTGCCACCACCTCATGATCGTGTGAATTTATGTAAGTTTGTTAATCTTTTTTTCGGTCAAGTTTTTCCTGGAAATAATTTTAGTGAGATGATGTGGAAAAATGTTCCTCGCTTTATTGTAAATCAATATTGATTAAACCATCTCAATAAAATTGAAGTTGAAGACTAACATCAACTGAAGAACTATTAAAAATTGAGGGGAACTGGTTAGACAGCTGCTTTGTTTCAATTTAGGACTTCTAAATAGTATTGAAATCACCAGTCGACTTAAGTCGTACAATCTTTGGAAATTAGGAACGATAGGACAGGTGTTTCGTTCTGTTTACAGAACTCCTCTCCAGTGTTTATCCACGACCCTACCGTAGATCGAGGCCCGAACCTAAAGAAATAACTTATAGCCAGAGTAGTCCTACTGAGTCGTCACGATAAGTAAGTCCTAACTAGAACTTTAGAGTCTCATATCATTGACATATTCTGTCTCATAAACCTGTATACAGAAGAGCACACGGGCGACTGTTTATTAAAGTCCAATCTAAGATATCCTATTCTTCTTTTGAACTTAATTCAATATCTATCCCTACGAAGGCACGAGAATTAGAAGCCAAATATCCAGATACACCAGTTCCTTACATTGAGTAGGTGGGGTCAAGTGAATAACCACATTTGTGTCCCGTATGGAAAATATAAACTAATCAACACAATTAATGAATAATTGATAACAACGAAATGAATGGAACACGTGGTTAGCTTCACAGATTGATTCACATCAGCTAGTTGGTGAATCATTAATGAGATGTTTCGTCTAAGTCTGTGATTCACCATTATGCATCCACTGAAAATCGGAATAATTACATTTTTCAGTTAATGTTAGAAAATGTCAGGGAATCCCAATTTAAAATGAATTAGCTAATTAGTGTTCTTTTGTTTTTTGTGATTTGAAGTTGACTTCACTCACTGTAGTGAAAAACAAAGTGATTGTACTTTAACGTTCCATATTGTTCAACATTACCGTTCAATACAATCTCTTCAATTGTTAGCCTATTATTAGTTGTTTGTTTTTGCTATTATTAACTATACCCATGTTATCTACAAATACCGACTGTTGTATTTCAATTGAATACGATAACTAATTTACTTATTATTGTGAATTCTTTTTTAGCCAATAATATATCCAAATCAAATGTTGTTTCCACACCTTTACCTTCTTCAATTTTCTATGAACCTTGGCATTCTATGTGGAAATTTATTAGAATGAATCCAAGTTAGTGAATTGTTGATTAAATGAATTTTTAAGAAAAATTACTGAATTCACATCGGTTTACATATTTAATCTGGTTGATTAAAATTGTCTTACATATCAAGTCAATATAACTATGATATTTTACCACCTGACATAAAACGAAGTGATCTCAATAGTTAAAGCACTTGAATTTCAGCCAAATAGGTCGTAGTTTCGAAAATTGCTTCATGTATTTCAGTTTGACCAACTTGTTAGTCTCACTAGTCTTCCAGAATATACAAAATATGCTCTCACAAGCTATGTAGTTAGAAACTTGTACTTGATGATTGAACAACATAAGAAAAGTAACTGGACAATAAACTAATACCGCCGTTGTTTCAATGTAATATTAACATTTTTATGTTTGTTTTAGATTCAAAAAACAAATAGTCTATGGAATTATTCTGTAATACAAACACACTGATAGGTCACTTTCAAGTTTATTTACGTAAACTCTGCACTCCAAATTGTAGGGCGCGCACTAAGGTGGAATAATGCCCAACCGAAAGCAGTGATGATATATATTTCCATAAGTTTATTTTTCTCGTCGTGTTTGTTAGCAAAATATAGATTTGATTAGAGCCTATTCCATGCAGGTTTATGTTGGAACACTATGATTGACCTGTTTTTAGTGAATCAGTGCTAGCAGATAAATGGTGAAGACTCCAGGATCTTCTTGTCTGTAAATTATAGATATACTAACATTTTTTACTGTGATTCCGTTTCAGCTTGGTTTATTTTGGAATATAATTACGTTCCTGTCTAAGATGTGTTCCGATTTTGGGGACCAGTCTAGTAGTGTCCGTCAAATACCAGGCAATAAAAGTAAACAGGTTGAATAAGGAAGACTCTAACAGTATTACAGAAAGATTTTAACAAGTTTATAATGTTCATACATTGGTTGACTGAGAGATTCATTGAATCATGTAGACACTAGTTGACACTAAACTAACTAGGGTTGTTTGAATGAGATCCATTGATTTGGTTTCGTACCCTATGGTATACATTTCACAAATATTATCATTCCATCCAATTCTGCTGTGCTTTGTTTTCATTTCAATAATATTTTGTCCGTAAATCTACTTATCATTTGACCAGTAAATTTTAAGCTAAAAATGAAAAAGTCTGAGAAATATTATGTGTCGAATTATCCCGTGGCAGCCCCTTAGGATTCACCACTAAGTTAGGGTCCAGCGATCTGGAATTTTAACTCCAGTCAGTTTGCGACATTACATAATCATAACCTTCTTCCACCAATGAAGTTTGTCTCACGGCCGACGTGGTTCAACTTCACGAGTCACAGTTTCTCACTAAAACTCCGGGAATCACCTCTCAAAGTTAGTCACTAGTAAACATATTGTTATTTTTTAGCATTTGGGTCTGTATAGGAATTCCTAAGGAGTCCCATACTGGTATGATACAGTTGTCCAATGCTTCTTGGTTTTCAGTGGATTTCCAATTAAAGTTACTCCATGTTGTGTAAGCCACAAGATTGATTAATTTGGCTGAGGGTATCCCCTCCGTTTTCGATGTTCGCTATTTTTTCATACCTTTCACTTTGGGTCATTTTTCCGTTTATTTAATGGATGATAGCTGCGAATTGAAATATATATTTCGCTAAAGATATCATTTTAAGCGTCTGAGTTATCTGGAACCGTCTGCTATGTATGTATGTTGACTAATTACTTCAGTTTTTATAAGAATCGTGGTGTAACTAGTATATTCCAACTTGATAGATAAACGTCTTTTAAGTTATGAAATGACATCTGGAGATCATTTTATAAAAAGAAAATCAGGCACTAAGTTCAGATATGTACAACAATGTTGTACAACAATTAAACGAACAAGCCTTTTCTCATAAAAAAAGTATCAAGTTTGTGCTGATGTAGATTTCAACTACGTACTTCTTATATCACACATTTCTTATTTATTGTATTTTAGTCTATGGAATAGGCGGCAAAACTTTACCACCGAAATGTATATTATTTATGGATCCTAAGTATATCCCACCTATTCATTCACTCTCAAAGATTGATAATGCAAATCTACCCTCTTCTACTGCTTTGGATTTCTGTTACGAAGCTCTGCTGTTTATGACACAGGCTTATGAGACTGTTGTACGAGTAACTTTATTTAAAGACTCAAAAACAGAGTAAGTTGATACTTTATTTGTCTTTTAGTATCGTAAACAATTTTAAGTGATGTATTTTCTAAGAAGCATACCAAGTTGAAGTATTCATGTTTTGTTATTCTTCAAAAACAACACCAAATCGATTGGTAATATATTTAGTTTTTTTTCTCGTCAACATTTAGACATTTGTAATCCATTTGTATTGTTTGCTTGGATCTTCCTATTGATGTTCAGGACTGCCATTGACCAGTCTATTTTGGGTTATGTACATCCTGTGTGGATTGCCTCGATGTTTCCATTAAGCCATAATCATTTTAAGCAGAGATAGATGGTTACTAGCAGTGCTGTCCAGGATGCGCGTTCCGTTCTATGTGTGACTCAGATGGATATATCTGCATTCCATAGTTAATATTCACTCCGGAACTGAAACCCAGCAGCTTTCGCTTCAAATGCCAACGCATTATCCACCTAACTACTGAGTCCAGATAGTCGCTTGCTTATGCAATAAGGCGAGGTTTAATTCTTTTTTTGTTGGTTGTTCAGACCTTTCCATCGATGTTAAGGACTAAAATAGACCTTTTTTAAATATTCGTATATCTGTTATTGTTTATTTGTATGATGTATCATACAGTTGAAAGGCATATGGCTATCAAGTTAAACATTTTAGTCCTTGTGCTTTTATGTCTACACCTCTAATGGTAAATCCACTAATTGTATCACTACTTATCACTCTAATGAAAGCTTACATACACCCTTGCGTTCCAAAACATCAAACAAAACGCCAGAAAACCAGCTAAGTGATTCGAAGTACCTTCACATATTCAAGCACATAGCCCTCATATATACCATACAATATTAACTCCTCGTGTAGCATTTCTGGGGTTACTGCCGGTCCCAAGACTTGAAAAAAGGAAGAGGGTTGGGTATGGGGTCAGAAACTTTATCCCGTGAGAAACAAACTTCGTAAAAAACGCTAACCAGAGTAAACAGATTAAACCACTAAAACTCTGCCCTCCGAGTTGAGGGATCTTCATTCGGAAAGATTATTACACCTCATGGTGAAAGCCGATATTCTTCGGAAGTCACGAGGCTGATGGAAAGTTTCGTGTACTTAAGCAGTATCATCGATAAATAAGGAGGGTTTGATGCAGATGTGAAAACACGGATTGACAAAGAAAGGACAGCATTTTCACGATTGAATAACATACGGTGCTCAAAAGCAACTTTCAGCCAACAGCAAATTCAGAATCCCTAATACAAACGTCAAGACAATTCTATTGTAAGTAGATGAAACGTGGGTAATTACTACAACCATCATCATGAAGTTACGGGTATTTTAAACAGTTGTCTATGCATGGAACACATGATCCGTTGGTTGGATCCTAGTGTTGCAGTCAACAAACCAGCTGTTAACTGCAAAGTCGATTAGGTTAAGACTCTTAGGGTAGTTAAGACATACATTGTTGAAATCATCATGCTGCATCACGAGGCAAGCCATAACTTGTAATCCTGAATGTGAAAGCAAAAGATGCAGCGCGCATCCACCACCCCATCTCGTGAGATTCGAACCCAGGACCTATCAGTCTCGCGCGCGAGTGCTAAACCTCTAGACCACTGAGCCGGCATCCAGCGGTGTTAATATCTGACTTCAACCAATCCACAAGATTGAGTAACCGTCCACCGTTGTCTTCAGTGAGTTATTATCTCATAGCATACCCGGTTGGACTCCATTGGTCACTGCTTCAAACGAGAACTCCAAGAAATACCCTTTGGAACCAGTCACTGGTGATCATATGATGTGTAACTGGTTGACTTGTAATGTATAAACGGTAAAAATTTAACATCAATTAATAAGTCAAACGACGACTCACAATTAGGACTAAGTGGAAACACCAAATGCAACTGCTTAGTTAATACTCTGTAGCAGGCGTCGAGTCACAGTTGACTATGATCACCACCACAGGAAAACTACATGCCAGTTGCTAAATTAGACCCCTCCGAAGGTCAAATATCAGAAAGCAGTTGAAGGTTGTAGTAAGATTTATTTGTCGGCGATCTCGTGGTTTTGAAATAATACCGAGATCGTGTCAAAGTTTGCATGCGAGACTACTGAGCGTACGAGGGTTCGTGCAAGGTCACAAATCAGCGGAAAAGTGTAGTTTTAGTACACTTAAACAAACAGGTACAGTAAAACAATCACTGGTAATATTGGTTATAATAATAATGGTTTCCATTATGCTAATCTCGTTTTCATAAAAGTAGGTCACTACAACTCGTCAAAACTATACGAGGCCGATTCTTCACATTTTATTATTTACCTTTCTAACTTTTGTCTTAACAGCCATGAAATCATAGAAACCAGTAGTAGATATACTTTAACGCTGGTCCACACATGAACATCATTACTAACCACTTATTTAACAGTTTAAATTTAGACCGACTTATATCAATTACCATAGGAATGGTGGTGTCAGTTTGTGCTGTACAAAGTCGGTACTATTTTCATTTACGCTTCATATTTCTTGTCAAAATTAGCCCCCTCTTTATATATAAAGTCATTCGAAATAGGAAACTTTTCGGTTGAGAACTAATAAATCACTCCACGTATTAGGATACTGCACTCTATACTACGATGTCTTTATTTCTTACTTTACGAAAGTTAATCGAGGGAACTAATTATTTAAATTTTAGAGGTATATGTATATCAATTTGATTGAGGACGTACCGATTTTTCAGTCACCTTTAACTCATCACTAATTCAGTGAACGGTTAAATTCTAAAAAAATGGCTTAGATATTTCAGATTAAAAATAACTATGAAACAATATGTTACGTTAACTCAACCTACAAATATGCACTGGTCAATTTATTCAAAAGTCAAATCTAGATATATTATGTTTAAATTAATAATCCAGTGGATTTCTTTATTATTATTATTATTATTATTATTATTATTATTATTATTATTATTATTATTATTATTATTATTATTATTATTATTATTAGAAATGGCGAGTTTATGTGTAATTGTGATCCGTACTTGAATTTACCGTGTCATTTTGGTATTACTGAATTGACATCAATGGAGGACTTTGTAAAACAACATATTTGGTCATCCATATGCAAACAGTTTTCAGCTGATGAATGAATTTCTTTGTAATATATCTGGTGTGAGAGACTCCGTACTGTTTTTCAAATGATTCTTTTGTACAAATCACCTATACTTTATTCTGTTTTGGTTGAGATAATTGACTTGAGTGTTAATAGTCTTTTAACAAGTAAACGAGTACTTCACATCTGAATTGTGAACTTTACTGCTATCCAACGAACGATCATACTTATAACAGCTAGAAAATAAAAAAGGTCGTAATTCAGGTTCTTGAAGTATCCTCAATATCGGAAGCAAATAGGAAGTCTGAGGGTTATTTTTCTGACGTAGATTAGTCTACTATTTTGGTTTTATGTGTCCAACTCGAAAATAGGATCAATCAGATTCAAAGTTCCAAGCACTTGGATTCTATATCTGTTTACAAACATGTAGGGGATCATATTTGCTGCATATCACTTGTGAAAGCTTCTCAGAACAGGCAACCTTTTCTGATAAATGTACTGGCCGTTAATTCGTTGTTACCTGAGGGGATTCAAGTAGAGGAGGTTGCAGAATACATGCTTCACATCATTTGGTATCTGTGCCTAAGCCACGATTCGTTGTCAAGCGTTGGTAATCAGATGCTACGAAAAACTTACTCGTATCATAATCCCAAGTGTAAGAAGTGCACACTGATGGTAAGATCGGACTGTATGTTTACAACGAGATGACGCAGCCCAAAGAGATCCACACTCAATCGTCAGCAAACAAGTAGTCGGACATACCTTTGATGGCTTGTAATAAATCCATTTCCCTCATTTTAAATGACAACTGTTCACGTACTAAACCGAGGAGCTAAGATTTACAATAATATCTTTGGTAATGCATCTATTCTAGCTAGTCGAAATTAAGAGGCTTTAATGTAGCTAAGTCTTAACTACACTAAAAGGTTGGGCCACTCAAGAGCATGTCAAAAACAATCGGTCTACATAGACAGTCTTGTAGTTGTCTGGAGAGCGGCTTTCGAACATCGAAGTCGGTCCTGCTATATTGCCCACTAGACAGACAATTCCTCTTTATTTTGTCCTTATGTTATAGCTAAGAATGTAAATCTAACCGTACAAGCTATGAGGACATGATAGTGTGTTGACTACATGATGCAATCAACTGAACTATTCGATTGACAACCAGAGTGGAGCAGTAGGAATTGGTCTATAAGTGAAATGAATTAACAGTTCAGGTTATCTTCTGGTATGTAGTATGGATAGATGCGTCTTATTTTCATTTTTTGACAAATTATAAGTCACCTTGGCCTAACATATCGGTTTTCTTCGTCAGAAAAGTAGATTATGAGTTCTATCCGTGCTAAGATGACGTCCGTTCCATCACTAGATAGAGAACAAATCTTAGAGTTTAGGCGTCCATTGTTGTTTTTCAAACAAGGTGCTGTTCTATATTAAGGGTACTACAAGCCACATCGTACAATCACGCTTACTTGCGTAGCCGCTCTGTGGGAAAAGAGTCATAAGGATGTCACGTAAACTTTCTAATTCTCATGACCAATAACTAAACAACTGATCACGAATGTCAATCGCGTAGTTGCCTCTAGCATCCAATGGAGAATTCTTTGTGTCGAGTAGTGTTTGCACGTACGGTGTATGACTATGTGTAACCCGAAATTTTACGTGGCATATTAGCCAATTTCCCTGAGCCCAGTGACTGAATGGATGCACACGGAATTTCCTTTGCTGCCGTTAGCAGGCACCGCATCAAAATTTCTTCTAGGAAAGCATCGTCCACCATATGAGTTCCAAATAATTGTTTTATCTGCCATATTGATTACAGCGGAGACTATCCTCCAACTCGCACTCATTCAGTAGTCTCTCCAATTGTTTCTTGTATGGTACTGAGATACGTTCGACAAACTACTTCAGCTTCTCATAGGCATCCTATATATGGAAATTGTCCATAAGGTTAGATATCTCTGTTCAGATTTCTGTTATGAGAACTTTCAGTACAGAAGAATGTTTCGAGGCCTTTTAAAATGAAATTGGCCCTCAACTTGTGTAAACCAAACTCGCGGGTTAAGTCTACTGGATGGTGGTACATCCATAGAATTTGAGGCATTTAATCAAGATCCTAATAAATTCACTATGAGGTATGCGAATGTATCACTAAAGGGAGCAGGCTTTAAAAAAATCCGAGAATGAGCCTGAAATTATAGTTTCAGTGAGAGGGTAGGCGTCATAAGATTTTTAGTGGATTGGTACAAGAACCTAATCGAGATATAATGATATGCGAATTAAACGATATCATGCAAAATCAAGTATTATTATGCAAGGCTGAAATTAGGCATGCAAGTTGGGAACCAGCGAAATTTACACACGGAACCAAGTTAAATAATAACAAAAATTATGTAACGAAAGTTACTTAGTGTTCCTTTTTAGTTGTCATTCTAAATGGATACCACTCCCTTACTGTATGTCCACCGAAGCATCAAGAATCGATAGCACGGTGAGTGGTATTAATTCAGTAATATTTTTGGCGTAACCCAGACCAATTATTTCGCGCAGAGTAAGAGGCCCGCAAAAGATATTGCTAAACTACTCTAATCCTTGATCACAAGCCGTAGTCAATAAGGCAGAGAAAGGGACGACGTTGGTAATATTTATCGGAGCACCAAATATAACGTAGGTATCAATCAATTAATAGTAAAGTCTATTAGCAACGATTACATGTAAACACAAGATGTCGGAAATAAGTGTGATTACGCATAGAAGAACATAAAGGAAAATGAGTTATGACCTTTTATTGCACTTATAATAATTATAAAGTCTACACGTCGCATTATAGTCGAGAGGAGTAACATTTTAGAACAGGACATAGGAATATATATTGCTATATACACGTTTAGTAAGATCGATATTGGTTATCGCATCCTTCAACCGGTGACTAATTTTCCAGATTAAATACCTCATTTCCTCTCAAAGTCTAAGTTTTCCTTCTGAGTCATTTGAATCAGTTACTTGTGTTTTTGGTATGTGGGGTTTTATTTTGAAATTATGTGTGAAGTGGAATTAGTGTAGTGATGTGAAATTTTTCTCGTGGTTCGTGATATCTAGAAATGACACTGGAGTTTTTTTATTCTGAAAATGGCACATGTGCCTAATGATTGGTATTCGCATTTTCACTTCATGCAATTATCAGTTTCTTTTTGTTTGTCCTTGTATTCGGATAGTACTTACAGGGTAAAAATCTTTTGCACATTTTATGGACTCACATGACTTACATGATTATATTCTACATATTCAGTCTTTTTACTCATTTTCCCATTGATGAATAATTGTTCATTGAAAAACATTCTGGGACGTCCAGATATATTTTGTCTGAAAGTCTACCTTAAGATTCCCTCTGGTTATGAGGTTCTCTGTGTAAAAGAAGTGTTCATTGAAAAACGTGTTTCAAACCATACTCTTATCTCATTTTAAGAGAGATAATGTGTTAAACAGTTTATCTTGTTTGGTCACCGTTTTGTGACGTCACTTGTGGTTGCGTCGTGTAGGCTCATGATGCTATTTAAATTACAAGAATTTCGTTGCTGTTACCCATGATTATAAAATCTGATGAACCATATCACGAATTAAATAGCATTCGGCTGAACATATATACATTGATAACCTATAAAACATGTCTTCGGACCTCTTCGCTTCTGTCTTTTGATCCCACTGGGTAGGCACGGTTCAATTATAGAAAGTGTTGCTGGCTAAAGTGTTATCAAACTGCAATACCTGTGACGTCTTCAATACTAACCGATCGTCTTCATTTATTTTTTAGTGTTATATATTATAATCAACGGGCTAGTTAAGACGATTTACATTATATCCAGTATATATAATAATTTGAAGAGAAAGTGTTCGAGTTCCGAAATCCTGTCACTTTATTTTCAACTGTCTTATTTCTTGCTGGCGTCTTATTAGATAATTATTAGCAAGGAGTACCGACTAATCATATACGTTTAATCAAACAATAAGGACTCTATTATTACTAATCAGATAACTGAACTTCACGAGTTCTAAACTGGACCCAATTTAATGTGAAATTTTTTACCATGGATTTCTTACTCTTTATGTTCGTTGGGACGTGAAATACAACTATGCAGAAGATAAATGAGGGATTGCTGGTACAGTTTTGCGGTTCCTAGGTAGATCTTTCAACCTGTTGGCAAACACAAACTTTACACCTGTGAATGGAAATTGAGTCTCAGTCATAAAATTAATGAACACTAGTGTCATGAAATTACTGCGGGAAGAAAAGCTGTCTTCAAACAGCGTGCTTACACGGTTATTTCACACATCTTACAACAGCTTAAAAATGCATCGCAAATATTTGAAAGTATATATCTTGAGTAAATAGTGTTCTTTATCAAGCAAAATGTATTTCTGATTGACGTTTTGTTGCACTGTAGAAGGTCACTCCAAATTTTTCCGCCTCTTTCGGGTAAGTTCTTAGATTTCGTTGCATGTTATTTCTGTTCCACTTTATAATAACGGTTCTGTAATTAATTATCAATTTTAACAGCGGAAATAAATTGTCTTGCGATTTCACTTCCGTCTGATAAGCTATTATTAGGTGGTTTTTCCTACTGGTTAGTATTTCGTTTGAATACTCAACCAGTTAAAATATGTATACAAAATGGTTATGGAACAGAGTCTTGAAAATTCGAAACAGGAAGCTGATCTCAAGGTCATCATGGATTTTTTTCAGCTAATATCTTGATTGGAACTACTATGTGTGATCGCACCCCTTTTTTATAAATCTGTATCTTTGTAATGTAAACTCTAGTACTTGTGCAAGATCATACCGCGGAAAACGTTCACCTGTTTCTTTACAATAATCACACATAGTTTTCAGGCACATATGACAAGCACGATAAACTGTTGGCTTTATTGTTTATCATACATATATATATATATATATATGCTCAAAGTTTTCCTTTTCATCATAAAGGACGTCTACCTTCTATGCTCCTCAATAGCTCATAAACATTTAACTATTTTGGAGGTTTTTAAAAGTTTCCCTCATTTTTCCATTTTGCGGACAAAAGGCCTGATCGCCTGCGCTTATCTTTTTCTCGTAACACTCTGTGTGTGTTTTCCCTCCTTCCAATTGAGTTACTTAAGTAACTTGTAATTACAAGTGCATGCATGCTAACGAACTGTTTCTAATTCGAAAGTGCATATATTCTGATTTTGTCTTGGACCATAAAATTGTTTAGGTTTCTGAATAAATTTGCCCAGGTTAAAAATCATAGTCCGTTGAAACGCAACAGGTTTCTGTTCGGAGATGTGCTCATAAGAGACAAGGAGCTTCTTGGT